TATATATATATCACCGCACCAATACTGCATGCACGCTGCACAACACAAGAAACAAAGAAAACAAACAACACAAACGCATGCATGCATGCATGTATGCATGCATGCATGCATGCATGCACGGAGGTTGTTTGCTGCAGTGCATCCCCCTGATGCATGCAGGGCAGCGCATGCAGGCAGCACAGACGGCTGTGTTGAGGTGTACGTACACCCCAATACACTCGCATTCCTCTCTAAGAATAGAAGAAAGTATGAAGCAATGAAAGCAGAAAAGGCAATGATATATAAATATATATATACACATTCACAGCTGCAGCACGATGCATGCATGCATACATGCATGCATGCATGCATGCATGCAACCTGCTGCTGCAGTGCAGCACAGCAGCAACTGCATGCTGTGGGGATCTATAAAGAGGTATAGATACCCTCAGGGGGGCCCCTCTAGGGGGCCCCCGAGGGGCCCCCGAGGGGCCCCCAAGGCAGAGAGGTTGCAAAGAATGAAGGGGGGTGGTGGGTGGGAGCGTGGGGTGGTGTTGATAAAATTAGGGTTTAGGGTTTAGGGTTTAGGGTTTAGGGTTTCTTACTTCTGGCCGCGTCCAGTTCCCCTCTGTTACCTCCTGCTCTAGATTAGCAACATCATCTTCTTCGTTGTTTTGTGGAGCAGCAGCAGCACAGGGTTCTTTGTCTGTCATCTTGTCTAGGGTTTAGGGTTTAGGGTTTAGGGTTTAGGGTTTAGGGTTTAGGGTTTAGGGTTTGAGAGGGAAATATAAATTCACTTCTTATATACCACAAACCACTACAAACCACAAACACAAATCCCTTTATTTTCTCTTCTCTTATACACTGGCTCTGTTGCTGCGTGTAGGCGGAGCGGCTGCTGCATGCATGCAGTGTATATGCAGCTGCTGGGGTTTACACATCTTCTTCTTTTTCTCCTTTTATATTTTTATTTTTTTAATATTTATATTCTTTTATTCATTTCAAATCAATAAACTCCTCACCAATGCAACACAACCACCAAGACAGCATACGCTGCACCGCCGCCACGCCGGGGGGGGCCTGAGGGTTTAGGGTTTAGTAGGGTTTAGGGTTTACTAGGGTTTAGGGTTTACTAGGGTTTAGCGTTTACTAGGGATTCGGGTTTACTAGGGTTTAGTGTTTTTTAGGGTTTAGGGTTTAGTGGGGTTTAGGAATTTCTAGGGTAGAGGGTTTCCTTGGGTTTGGGTTGCCTAGGGTTTAGGGTTTATTGAGGGTTTAGGGTTTACTGGGGGTTTAGGGTTTACTGGGGTTTAGGACTTGCTATCGCTTAATTTTTTGTGGGGCTCACGCTGTACGAGGATTTAGGGTTTACTAGGGTTTAGGGTTTACTAGGGTTTAGGGTTTACTGGGGTTTAGGGTTCACTAGGGTTTAGGGTTTACTAGGGTTTAGGGTTTGAGCTGCTGATGTTAGCGGCTGCATCTAGGGTTTACTGCTGAGCGCATTTAGCTTTCTGTTGAACCCCAAAGCACGATAGCAGCAGCAGCAGCAGCAACAGCTGCAGCAGCAGCGAGAGCAGGAGCAGCAGCAGCAGGAGCAGCAGCAGCAGCAACAGCAGCAGCAGCTGTAGTCTCCTCTTCTATTTCTGCATTTGTCTGTCCCCAAGGAGTCAATGGGTGTAATCCTGTTGGGATGAATAGGGTTTAGGGTTTAGGGTTTAGGGTTTAGGGTTTAGGGTTAGAGCAGCAGCAAGTCCTCTCACTAGTGCTTCTATCATCTATCTTTGGCCTCACCATTACTACTATTCATTATATTTACATTATGTAGGGTTTAGGGTTTAGGATAGCTAGCTAGCTAGCTAGCTAGCTAGTTAGCTGTTTATCTGGTTGTCTAGCTAGCTAGCTAGCTGGCTATCTAGCTAGCTAGCTAGCTGTTCATGTGGATGGCTAGCTAGCTAGCTAGCTAGCTAGCTGGTTATCTAGTTGGCTAGCTAGCTAGCTAGCTAGCTAGCTAGCTAGAGCCTGCTGGTGGTGGGGGCAGCACAAAGATTTCGGTGCAGCAGCAAATAAACAAAAACCCTAAACCCTAAACCCTAAAACAATTATAAGTTTAAAAAGACTACCGCTCACTCCTCTTGCTGC